GTCAAGTAGAACGTAATTAAATGTGTCTAGAAAATTTTATTCAAATTTACGATGTACGATGTACCAAGTTTTGATACAGTCCCCATACAACGGAATATGTTTGGGCTTCTTCACCTGAATTTGGCAAAGCTTGCATTTCCTATATTCGATATTTTGATCATTTTACCCACATTTGGGTATTTTTACATTTTATTTTACATTTTTAAATTGTTCCCATTTTTATACCCTACACCACAAGGTGGTCAGGGTATTATGTCTTTGTGCATTTGTTTGTAACAGCCAAAAGAAAACGAGATAGACCCATAGTTCCTTTTGATGATCTGTATAGAATCACTTTCCGAGTTGATTTATGCATGTCAGTCCGTCTGTCCGTCTGTCCATGTATTCTTGTGAACAAAGTGCAGGTCGCCTTTATTATCCGATTGAGATGAAATTTTCCAAACAACATTTGTTTGACCCAAGGACGAATCCTATTGAAACTGGAGATAATCGGTAAAAAATAGATATAGCTCCCATATATATCTTCGTCCGATTTGCCTTTTATTGTGCACCAAACCTGTAATATCAGCCCGAATGATATAGAATTTTGCACATACAACTAAATTAGACCTGAAAATAAGTATGCCAAATTTGATCGAAATCGGTTCAGATATAGCTATAGCTCCCATATATATTGTTCATCCGATTTGTTATATTTGTCCTCCGCAGCCGTAATATGCACTCTGTAACAACAACATTTGGGGAAATATATCAAATGCAGCTCAGGAATACCTTTGCTAAATTTTATCGAGATCCGTTCAGATTTGGATATAGCTCCCATATATAACTTCTTCCGAGTTACCTTTTATTGTGCACCAAACGTCTAATATTTACCCAAATGGGATGGAATTTAGCACATACGATCGAATTTAGTCTAGAAGGTAGTACGCCAAATTTTGTGAAGATCGGTTCAGATATAGCTATAGCTACCACATATTTTGTTCATCCGATTTGTTATTTTTGTCCTCCGCAGCCGTAATATGCACTCTGTAACAACAATATTTGGGGAAATATATCAAATGCAGCTCAGAAATAGCTTTGCTAAATTTTATCAAGATCGGTTCAGATTTGGATACAGCTCCCATATATAACTTCGTTCGATTTACCTTTGATGGAATTTGGCACATACGACCGAATTGAGTCTAGAAGATAGTGTGCCAAATTTGGTGAATATCGGTTCAGATATAGCTTTAGCTCCCATATATATTTTTCATCCGAAAATTGGGGTATATAGGTTCGAATGTAACCCCCATGTAACGGAATTCCCGATGAAAATACTTATTATAGGGAGGTAGCGTTATATAGCGGCTATACGAAAACTTAGACCTTCATAAGCAATTTTCTTCCATAGGCTTCGTACTCATTAACAACTTCTAATTCCAAATTTGAAACATTTCCGGTGAAAAGTGTTACACAAATCATCAAAATACGGAATATCAGGAGGTATAGTTATATGGGGACTATACCAAAACTTAGACCCTTATTTACAGTAAAAATAAACACCGAAACGTGGACCCATATAGCACAAAAGTCCTGCAGACCAAACACTCATCTGAGTAAAATTTTATCAGCCTTCTTCAATTCGTTCGGAAGCTAGAATGATTTCCACAGACGGATAGACAGACAGATCGTCGTTGTGTCGACATAGAATATTATGCTGATCGAGAATATATATACTTTGTGGGGTCTGTTAATGGGTATTTCTAGCAATATTTAAAAATTAGATTCCTTTTTTTATTTGATTTTTCAACGAAATCTACATTGATGTAGAGTTTAGAGATACGCCATTCATGTATTTGTGATTTTGTTAATTTTAAACAAAATTGTGGTCCATTTTACCAGCAAACCAGAGCTGACCTAAACTCTGACTCCGTAAAAAATCACATTTATTTATTTTTTTTTTTTTTTTTGCAAATTATCGGTCTTTGGTCCATTTTAAACCCTAAATATAACATCCACAACACATAGTGTTGACTGCTAAAAAAATATATGTAAAATAATGTACAATTCAATATTGTAAATCAAATTGAAAAACTCTCATTCATCAGGTGAGAATACAACGAAATCAATGCATTGCATTACTTGTCATATTTTGATGTCATCTAACATTCACAAAATCAACGAAACCATAGCGAACCATGCAAATGATCGCACTGTTGCTTAATCTAATTTGGTTGATTTATATGGTTTTCTTGTGGAACATTTTATTTTATATTCTTTTTTCTCAACAACAAAAAATATAAAAGTAAGTCATAAAATTATGAGAAAGTCAGACTAATATTCAGCCAAAATAATTGCATATATATCAATTTGTATTTCCCCACTCCGTTTGTAACCTATCGAAATAACCATTTTAGACATAACAAAGTATATATATTCTTGATTAGCCCTGTCTGTCTGTCCGTCTGTCTGTTGTAATCACGCTAGTGTCAAAACGAATAAAGAAACAGATCAGTCTTTTGCCTGCAGGCAGATCAAGTTCGAAGATGGGCTATATCGGTCCATGATATCGCATACAACGGAACACCCCGATATTCGGTATTTTAGTCACATTTACCAATGGAATTGTCTAAAAATCCACACGAGGAGTTCCTTTTGAGTACTTTACCCCTTGGAAGAGAATTTCCTATATAAGTCTACGATATCGTGTAGCCCCCTTACAACGGTACCCCGATATTCAGTATTTTGATGATTGTACAAAAATTTTTCAATAAAATTGTCTGGAAATCCACATAAGGATTACATTCTGAGTAGTTCATCCCCCGAAAGGTTGTTGGGTCCACTATATCGTTTATCTCCAATATAATGTCTAAAAATCCATTCTAGAAGTTCTTTCCAAGCACTCTCTGAAACAGAAATATCTATATAGGTTCAAGATATCGTATAGCCCACATACAACAGAATTCCCCTGAAATAAGATATTTGGCGAGTTTGGGGACGTTATTCACCGGAGTTGTTTGAAATTGCGTACCTAGAATGGGTTCTATAGCCTAGGACAAAACATTATGCAGACCCATGTCTTCGTATAGCCTCCATATAATGGTGCATTCCAATATTCGGTATTATATTAATTTTAGCGACATCATTCATCGGAATTGTTTCAAATTTCGTATTAAGGTTCGTAATGGGAACTACAGTCTATGACAGAAAATTGTCTATGCATGTCCAGACCTTCGTACAAACCTCCCTATATTCAGCATTTTGATGATTTTAGTTACGTTATTCACGGATTTTTTTCAAGTTTCGTATTTCAATATTGTAATGGCTTATGGCAAAGGTTGCCTATGCAGGTCCACGTCTTCGTATAGACCCCAATATAACGGCTATATTAGGTGTTTTTAAGATTTTAACAGAAATTTTGCCGAATGTTATTTTTTGAAGATTTCCAAATTCGTTCCAAAAGGTGGAGGGTATCCAGAGTTCGGCCCGGCCGAACTTACTGCCTTTTTAACATGTCTTTTTCTTTTTAATTTCAACCTCCATTTTTATTGCATATGTAGGCCCATGTCTCTGTATAGTTACCATACAACGGTATAATCGGTATTTCGATGACTGGAAGTGTTTTAAAATTCGTATTTGAATCGGTATTTTCATGACAGGAAGTGTTTAAAATTCGTATTTGAATATCGTAATGACCTGTGACATAAATTGCATATACAGGTCCACATCTTCGTATGGGCCCCAATATAAAGGAAACACCTTATATTGAGACAGAAAAGTGTATATGCAGGCCCACATCTTCGTATAGGCCCCATATAACGGTACCTCCCGATCATCGGTATTTTGATGATTTTAGCGACATTATTTACCGCAATTGTTTCAAATTTGTTATTTGAAGTATGCAGTGAATACTACAGCCTATGACAGAAAATTGTCTGTGCAGGTCCACGTCTTCGTATAGCCTTCATATAACGGTACCTCCCGATATTCGGTATATTGATGATTTTAGCGATATTATTCACCGGAATTGTTCCAAATTTGGTATTTGATGTTCGTAGTTGATACTACAGCCTACGACAGAAAATTGTCTGTGCTGGTCCACGTCTTCGTATAGCCCCCATATAACGGTACCTCCCGATATTCGGTATTTTGATGAGCTTAGCTCCTCGTATAGACCCTAATGTAACAGGTACATTCGGTATTTTTTAAGATGTTAACAGAATTTTTAATGGATTTTATTGTTTTTGAGAATTTCCAATTTCGTTCCAAATGGTAGAGGGTATACAGCTTTTTTACTTGCTACTACTCCTTTGCATCCTTTATTATGTCTAAAAAGTGTAATATCAGCTCAAATAAGAAGGTTTTTGTGCAAATCGGTTAAGAGGTGAAAATTCTGCCATATAACAGATCCTTTCGGCTCTAAATTATATCTGCTTCAAATCCATAATATGCATTCAAAAACCATCATAAATTGGTTTGGTTTTCTTATGGGTAGCTCTACTTAGTCTACAAATTGGTTTAGGGTATCATAAAATCGGCCTGCCAGACTTTGAGCCTTTTCTTAATGGTTTTAGCTCTATTTTCATTATCAGCCGATTTTTCCCGTAACTGTTGAAAAAATTAAAATTTGTCGCACAATGTTATTATGATATAAGATATATGGACTAATCATAAACTACATTATTGTATTCTTAATTTCTTCAAAAAATTTTTCCGTTCTCACATGGTACGTTTTTCTCTCCCTAGGCATTGTTCGACTCTTAAAAAAGGCGTCTTCTTAATACACCATTCAAATGTTATCTTTAACAAATGAAAACAAATGTCGAAAAATGATCTATGACATTTCAAAATGCCAACAGAAAAATTATTATTAGTTTTTTGATCCGCATATCTGTAAGAGCGATTTAATTTGTATTTAACAATTATTACGAAAACAATACAAATAATTTCAATTTTTTAAAATTCTTATATTCCAAAATCTATGCATTTGTTTATAACTACATTTAATTTTTTCCTTTCAGCAGTAACATTTTTTCTACTACACATAAACAACACATTTATTTATCTACTGTCTATTCACAACGACATATATATCTTCTTGGCGCTTCTATAAAACAAAACGACTTACATCTATTTTCAACATCTACGTAAATTCGAGCATCATGATATCCTGTATTAATAAACTTGTATATCCAACCGCAGCCACAGTGGCTGCGGCATCGGCGGCTGCAACACTGGCCTCATCGAGCGGTGCTCCCAGCGAGACACAAAGTGAAATTTCATCGGTGGACAGTGATTGGAGTGACATTAGAGCGATAGCATTGAAATTGGGTGTTTCGAATCCAGACGATTTGCATACGGAACGTTTCAAGGTTGATCGACAAAAATTGGAGCAAATGATAAAAGGTAAAGAAAAAAATCAATCTTTAAAGAGTACGTGAAATTAAAATACCTATGTAAAGAAAGCTAATTATTAAATACGAAATTCTAGTATTTTTCAAAAATTTAATACAGAATTTATTCTCATAACCTATTTCAGCTGATAGCTCCATAGAGGGTATGAATGGAGCTGAGTACTTTTTTGAAAGCGTAAGTATTCAGAGTAAGTTTTTTTTTTTTTTTTTCAAATTATTTAAAAAATATATATTTTATTGGTAGGTTATGAAAACTACTGAAACCTATATAAGCTGGCCTTGTAGACTTAAAATTGGAGCTAAGAGTAAAAAGGGTAAGGGTCTAAATTGTAAAATCCTAAATGTGTAACCACTCTTACGCTCTTGTTTCAAAAACTCCTTTTTCTTTATAGATCCCCATGTACGCATTGTGGGAAAAGCCGACGAAGTGGCTAAAGCTAAAGAACGTATTTTAGCTAGTTTAGACTCAAGAGTGAGTAGATCTCTAAAAATATTTTAAGAAAATGTGCCATCAAATAAATTTTCCTTTCAGGGCACCCGTGTCATTATGAAAATGGATGTCTCCTACACCGATCACTCCTATATTATAGGACGTGGTGGCAATAACATCAAACGCATAATGGAAGAGACTGCAACCCACATACATTTCCCCGATTCGAATCGTTCGAATCCAACGGAAAAATCCAATCAAGTTTCTTTATGCGGTTCCTTGGAGGGTGTAGAAAAGGCCAGATCTCTGGTGCGTTTATCTACACCACTGTTGATATCATTCGAATTGCCGGTAATGGCAGCAGGACGTCCCCAACCGGATAGGGATACACCATATGTAACGATGGTCGAGCAGAAATATAATGTGCAGGTGGGACGTGCTGACCTTTTATCTTTATACTAATTTTCTATCCAACTTTTATTCGTAGGTCATTTTCTCATCTCGTCCGAAATTACACTCATCCCTGGTCTTGGTTAAGGGTTCAGAAAAAGAAGCCGGACATGTTCAAGAAGCTACACAAACGTTGATAAATTTTTCATGTGAAAATATTGCGGTTTGTATATGGAAATTCAATTCCAGTTTTTACTAATTCTTATCACCATATCCTATAAAAATAATTTATGTGTACGAAAAAAATTGCAAAAAATGAGAAGAAGAATAGACTTTGCCGGTTTTGATATTAACAAAAATTAAAAAATTCTAACATTTTTCGAATTTTAAATTTACTGATTTTTAATTGTTTCTCAATGCCATAATGGTTCCAAAAACTTGTTATATATATGTATTAATTTCGGTTTTCTAACATTTTACTTATACTTTGTTTTCTTAGAGTCAAATTTTAGTTAACATGCAATTGGAGATATCGCCACAGCATCATGAAATTGTTAAAGGAAAAAATAATACCAACCTATTGAGTATTATGGAGCGCACAAACACTAAAGTAAGTTTTTTTTAATTTTAATGCTAGCAATACGAAATCCTTTATCAGCTCTTAACAGCAATAAGTATTTTAGTTATATAAGAAATACCTGTGCCCTGTGGAATTGAGATAGGAAGCTAAAATTTTGCACAGATCAGTCTTTTGTGTGGTCCACTTTCTCGTATAGCCCCCAATAACGGTAACATCGACATTGGGTATTTTCGACGTATATTTTTATACCCTACACCACATAGTGGTAAGGGTATTATGTCTTTGTGCATTTGTTTGTAACATGGAGAAGGAAACGAGATAGACCCATAGTTACTTTTGAGAACCTTCATAGAATCACTTTCTGAGTCGATTTGTGCATGTCAGTCCGTCTGTCTGTCCATGTATTCTTGTGAACAAAATGCAGGTCGCATTTATTATCCGATTGAGATGAAATTTTCCAAACAGTATTTTTTTGGCCCAAGGACGAACCCTATTGAAATTGGTGAGAATCGGATCAAATTTAGATATAGCTCCCATATATATCTTCATCCGATTTCGGGTTAAATGTGCACCAAATATCCACTATCAGTCCAAATTACCTGAATTTTGGCACACCCAACCGAGTTCGGCCTAGAAGCAAGTATATCAAATTTGGAGAAAATCGGTTCAGATATAGCTATAGCTCCCATATATATCTTTCATCCGATTTGATCTTTAAGTCCCTCACATTCCTACTATGCACTCCACAACCGTGATATTTGGTACCAGGTATTAGATGGAGCACAGAAATAGCTGTTTTAAATTTTATCGAAATCGGTTCAGATTTGGATATAGCTTCCATATATATCTTCATCCGATTTCGGGTTAATTGACCACCAAATGGCCAATATCAGCCCAAATGGCCCGAATTTTGGCACATGTGACCGAGATTAGCCTTAAAGCAAATACAACAAATTTGGAGAAAATCGGTTCAGAAACAGCTATAGGTACCATATATATCTTTCATCCGATTTCGGGTTAAATGTGCACCAAATGTCCACTATCAGTCCAAATTACCTGAATTTTGGCACACCCAACCGAGTTCGGCCTAGAAGCAAGTATATCAAATTTGGAGAAAATCGGTTCAGATATAGCTATAGGTACCATATATATCTTTCATCCGATTTGATCTTTAAGTCCCTCACATTCCTACTATGCACTCCACAACCGTGATGTTTGGTACCAGGTATTAGATGGAGCACAGAAATAGCTGTTTTAAATTTTATCGAAATCGGTTCAGATTTGGATATAGCTTCCATATATATCTTCATCCGATTTCGGGTTAATTGACCACCAAATGGCCAATATCAGCCCAAATGGCCCGAATTTTGGCACACCCAACCGAGCTCGGCCTAGAAGCAAGTATAATAAATTTGGAGAAAATCGGTTCAGATATAGCTATAGCTCCCATATATATCTTTCATCCGATTTGGTGTTTAAGCCTCTCACGTTCGTAATATGCACTCCACAAGAATGATATCTGGTACCAGATATAAGATACAGCCCAGAAATAGCTGTTTGTAATTTTATCGAAATCGGTTCAGATTTGGATATAGCTCCCATACATATCTTCAACCGATTTCGGGTTAATTGTGCACCAAATGGCCGATATAAGTCCAAATGGACTGAATTTTAGTACATCGGACCAAATTCAGCCCAGAAGCAAGTATATCAAATTTAGTGAAAATCGGATCAGATATAGATATAGCAACCATATATATGTTTCATCCGATTTAGAGTTTTAGTCCCATACATTCGTAATATTCACTCCACAACCTTGATATTTGGTACCAGGTATTAGATGGAGCACAGGAATAGCTGTTTTAAATTTTATCGAAATCGGTTCAGATTTGGATATAGCTCTCATATATATCTTCATCCGATTTCGGGTTAAATGTGCACTAAATGGTCAATATCAGCCCAAATCACCAGTCTACGTAAAATTTGGAGAAACCTGGTTCAGAGATAGCTATAGAATTAGATAGAATTAGATAGATATTGATTTTGTACCAAATATCTCATAGAGCTCTGAAATGCCCTGTATAAACCTTTTTACGAGAGCTCTACTAAATATGCATAGTGGTGTAGGGTATCATATAGTCGGCCCCGCCCGACTTTTGAGCTTTCCTTACTGGTTTATTTTTCAAAATGGTGAAGGGTATTATAAGTTCGGCCCGGTCAAGCTCAGCTGCTTTTTTACTTTTAATTTTATATAATTTGCTACGGCTAAAACGTGCCCCATCGAACCAATGATTTTGACCTCTATGTCTCTTTGGACCAATTTCGTTTCAGGAAATTTGGAGTCGATCTAGAGATGTCCGTAAGTCCGTCCGTCTGGCTGATTCGCACGATAACTCTCAAAAGGTGTATACGATTTGGCCCAATATCGTAATATTATTATGAAACTTATCCGTCTACTCCTTCTGGCACCTCCTTCACAAAAGGAAAATTTTTCAGAAAAAAATTACCTCATAGAACGAAAAAGAATTATCCAATTATCCAATTTCGTGCTAGGTTAGTTACGAAAATAAAAAATATTGACCCATTCCATTCCTACAAGGGTCAAATTTTATAATAATTATAATGCTAAAAATTGCAAAATAATCATCCAATTAGTTTCAAGCTCTGCAAATCCTAATATTTCAGATACCTCCTCCACAAAATTTTAAGTATTTATAACCCTTATACCAAGTCTTTCTGAGCTGTTCGTTAAACCCGAGAACTGAACATGGGATTTTTCGACCCAATACTTTCGGTACCTCCCCCACAAGGGATCAACATTTTAAATGGTTACAAGTCCCATAACATGCAAAATAATTATTCCATGTTTGTTCTAAATTCGTACAATGAAATATTTTTAACTATATTAAATCTTGTGTAAATATTGAATTCATGGTTTCATTCTTTCTTGTATCTCCCCACAAAGGGTCAACATTTTAAAAAATGTTAAATCTCAATTCAATCAACCGTAGGTCTAATGTAAATATGGTGCCTCCTCCATAAAACAAATCGAATAATATTGGAAATAATTAATTTTTGCACGTCTTAACATTTTATCAGTATTAGATAAAGTCCGAAAATCGAATACATACGTCCACTCTTTCTCGTAACTCAACCACGCAAGTTCAACATTTTCAAAAAGGTATAGGGTAAGTGTGCCTAATTTCGGCACGTCCCAGTAGTTGGCACTTTTTATTTTTAAGCCCAAACAAATGAAACTTTTACAACTAAATGTATTTTGTTTACTTCAAATATATTGTCAGTTATCTTTGTGTACAATTTCGCTAAGAAAAGATGATTTATTCTAATAAAAATTAAATTTTTGTCTGTGAAGGTCCTCAACAAGCCATATTCTTAAGAAAAGTACAATAAAGACGTCGAATCAGTTTAACTAAACAAAAATATTATATTTTAATGAATTAATTTATTATTAATTATTCTTACAAAAAATTGGTATGCCGACTGTTGGAACATGCCATACAGACAAGCGGCAAGTGGTGCCGACTACTGGCAAAAAAGCATGGTTTTAATGAAACTACAAATTTATGAAATTTAATAAATAGTTATTAAAACTTTATTTATTATTGCAAAAACTATACAAAATTTCGAATCTGAATAAATTAACTTTTGTAATAATTGAAAAGTTCCACTCAGAATGGTGAGCGATTAAAAACGCGAAAATCCCAAAAGTGCCGAGTACTGGTACACTTACCCTATGCAACAATCTTTGATTTATTACAAACCTGGGACGACGCAATGTATATATCAGAATTAGGTCTGATGCGAAATGGAAAATATTGGCCCACACCTTCGATACCACCCAAATAAGGTGTCAATATTTTAAATAGTAGTAACACAAGACAAAATATATTTTAATGAAGGAACATAGGCTGAAGATATACAAAACGGACAGATACTTTTTAACTTTTTTGCTTTTCATTTCAAAAATTCGATACCAAATTCTAGCTTATTAAATTGTTAGACATCTGTGATTATGTAACACAGAACAATATAAATGAAATACTGTTTATTGCATTACAACTGTGCTCTATTCCAGAACTGCAGCAATCAGGGCTGCCATTTTTGCCGATTTGTCGGCATTTTGACGATTTTTCACTCTAAAATTGAGAAATGCCGATTTTCCGATTTTTACCTCAAAAATGACGATATTTTAACGATAGTCTTAAACTGCCTCACTTTTTAATTTAAAACGTTGTCAAAGTCAACGTCAAATAAAATATATCTGTCTTTTTTGGCGCATATTCTCAAAGTTATAAGTACCACCTACAAATTATTTGAAAAATAATCTACCGGAATTCATAATTTACTTAACCCAATGCAGTTACTTTTTAGAAGCGTTTTGAGTAATTTCATCAGACAGGACGTTATAAGAGATAATATTCATTTAACTGACTTTGTGGACACTAATTTTTATAACCTCAGTCATATGACTAGCCTCATCTCAATGACGGTTTTAGACCCTAGGTCTCTTTGGACCAAATCCGTTTCAGAATATTTTGAGTCGATCTAGCGATGTCCGCGAGTCAGTCCGTCTGTCTGTCTGGCTATGCGCAGGATAACTCTCGAAGGCGGTATCCAATTTGGTCCAAACTTGGTACATTGTAATATTATTATCAAACTTAGATCGAGTTCGCAGATGGGCAATATCGGTCCACATCTTCTGGTACCTTCCCCACAAAAGGTCAACATTTTGAATATTCATGAAGGTCATGAAACGCGAAATTAACATTCGATTCCATTAAGACTCGTTACATCTCAATATTTCCATTAACACCAGATCTTTTATATAGATCGGACCATTTCTTCTGGTTACTCCCCTACAAGGGTCAAAGTTTTGAATAACCAAAACGATTATGAAATCCGAAACAAGCATCCGGTTCTTTCCATATTTTACTGATACAAATTTTTTGTATTAATACAAAATCTGCTGTGAACATGGAACATATAGGTCCACTCCTTCCGATCGCCCCAAATGGTTATTATTTTCCATGAAGCTCGAACGCGAAATTAACATCCGATTCTACTCAAACTTGGTTCATCTCAATATTTCCATCAACACAAGATATTTAATAAAGATGGTAGAGATCGGACCATTTCTTTACAACTTGCTATATCTAAGATGAACATGGAATTTATGATTTCGCACATACCAATATTTTTATCGGTAATGGATGAAGTATGAAAATGGAATACATCGGTCGACTATATCTGGTACCTCACGCACATTTCAACATTTTAGAAAACTAACACATATCTCATATCCTGTGAAGAAAGTAACCAATATGGGGCAAAACATCACGTCAATATTTTATATCATATTTACTTAGGCGCGATATGAAATTGACAATATTGGCCCCTTGTAAAACTCATGGTACAATAAAGAAGTAAAGTAGAACTACCAGCTGATTACAATTTTTTCCAAGTGTGCCTGTGGTTTTGGAAATATATACTATAATTGTTCGAAAAGTACTAAGTGGTACTAAATTGGGTATTTGGCAAAGGGTCTCTGGTGGTAAAAATTGCTGGTTTTCGTTTCGTTAGTAACACCTCAGCTTTGAAACAGTTTACACTTAAAACAGTTCACACTTCTACAGTCACACAGTTTACATTTCTAAATTGGTGGGATTGACAATGGGTTAAGATCCCATTTAAAACTCCTACTGATTTTCGCCTTCAGAGAGCTGTAAATTTTCGGGTATTTCTACTGATTTTAAGTATAAATGTAGATGCACGTTTTTCAATTTTTATACCCTATGCTACCATCGAATTCAGTATACAAGCAAGTTCATAAAATATATATAGTTCCTGTATATATCTTAAACCGATTTCGGGTAAATTTTGCACCAAATGCCCTGACCTAAATCAGTCCAAATGATCTGAATTGTGGCATATACGACATAATTTAGTCTAAAAGCAAGTATATTAAATTTAGTGAAAATCAGTTCAGATATAGCTATAGCTCCCATATAATGTTTGATCCGATTTGGGGGTTTAAGTCCCTCATATGCGTAATATACACTACACAAGAATGATATTTGGTTCCGGACATCAGATACTCCTCGAAAATACCTCTGTCAAATTTTATCGAGATCGGATAAGATTATGACAAAGCTCCCATATATATATTTATCCGATATCAGGTTTATTGTGCGCCAATAGGCTAATGTCATTCCAAATGGACTGAATTTTGGCAATTACGACTGAATTCAGCCTATAAACCAGTACTTTAAATTTGGTGTAATTCGGTTCAGATATAGCTATAGTTCCCATATATATGTTTCATCCGATTTGGGTTTAAAGTCCCTAGCAAGCGTAATATGCATTCCACAACAATGATCTTTGGTACCAGATATCAGATACAGCTTTGAAATAAGTGTATCAAATTTTGTCAAGATCGATTCAGATTTCGATATAGCTCCCATAAGTATCCTCAACAGGTTTCGGGTTAATTGTGCACCAAATAACCAATATAAGTCCAAATGATAAGAAAATATAAAACGAAAACTGTTCGTAGAATAAAGTTGATGTTGTTTTCTGAGTCTAAGCAGGGTTGAAGACGTGCGAAACATTCTAAAATATATTCGAGGGGAACCTTTCTGATTTATTTTACTTTTTTATATGATTTATTTTTTAAGACAATATTTGCTGACAAATAACCCCAAATTAAATTGAGCTTGTAAAATATTTTTATGACTTTGACAATGCCAAATATCTTGTAGTATGAGTGCTATGCGAAATCATAGACTTATATATACAATTTATTTATATTTTTCATATATTATATATTTCAAATTTCATATTACCTCAAATCGTGGTGGTACCGTTATATGGAGCCTAAAAAAATTTAATTCAATACTCTAATAATATATATTTGTATTAAAATTATTTTTTGTATAACTAATGACTTATTTTCCTTACTTTGTAGATAATCTTTCCCGATCTATCTGATATGAATGTTAAACCATTGAAGAAATCTCAAGTGACTATAACTGGGACCATAGAAGGTGTCTATAAGGCACGACAACAATTACTTGTGAGTAGAATTGAAATATGTAATACAAATCTATGATATTTCTTATGATCGTCTTGCATGACTTCTTAATAGGGTAATTTACCGATTGCCTTAATATTTGACTTTCCCGACAATCAAAACGATGCCTCTGAAATAATGAGCCTTAGCACTAAATATGGCGTTTATATAACGTTGCGCCAGAAGCAAAGACAAAGCACTTTGGCCATTGTTATTAAAGGAGTCGAAAAGTTTATAGGTAAGTCGATCATTGTACATATGTATGTGTGAGAATATATTGCTAATATCATTTCAATTCTTTTCTCTCCCAGACAAAATCTACGAAGCCCGTCAGGAGATTTTACGTTTGACAACACCCCTGATTAAGCCGGACATACCGGAACGATATTTTATGCCGCAGGACAAAGATTTCAATTTGGTCTATCGCACCACATTGACAGCATTGTTGGCTGGCTATAACGAAAGTCCGAAGGCACTCAATGTAATGCCGACCACAACCGGACACCTAACGTCTTTGTCCCCCTATGGCAACAATAATAATTTGTTGCTTAACAATAACAACAACAACAACAATAATCTTTTGAACAACAACAATAATAATAACAATGCAAATCTAAATCAGTTGAATCGACAACAATTTGGTGGTCTTTATCCCACCACACCGACGGGCATTTGCTCGCCAACGCAAAAATATTTACAGATTCATAATAGCAATTATGCTAGGCAACAACAACAACAACAGCAGCAAATTCCACCACAGCAACAGCCACCACATTTGCAACATCAGCATCACAATAACAACTATTTGCAAGTACTGCAACAGCAACAACAACAACAGCAGCAGCATCACCACCACCACCCACAGCAGCAACAGCACCAACAACAAACACAAATGCAGCCACCCACTCACATCATCCATCAGCAGCAGCAACAACAACAACACATACCCCAAACACATAATATATCGCCACGTAATAGCTGCAGCAACAACACCAGTGGCTATCAAAGTTTCAGCAGCAGTACAACATCACTGGAACAGGCCTATCCTCCGTTTGGCAATGCCTTGGGTGTAAATACCAACAACGGACCAAATGGTCCATCTTTGCTCAATGGCAATAGGCCATCACCATTTTCACCGGATTCCAATTATAGCAGTGAGGCTGGCTGCAGCCGTTTGGGTAGGCGCTCCAGTGATGGTGTCCTCTTGGGCTTGGGCGCTTCAGGACCCATTGGGCCGATGGTACCCGGTAGCGCTGAAAGTTATCGTAACTCTCACTATGACTTGAAGGTATGTGACAATTCACTTTATCCAGTTGTTCAATAATATAACACAATGTATCAAAAGTGGATAATTTATCCGAAGTGGATAACTTATTCACTTTGGATAAATAATTCATCGAGGAGAATTCATCCAACGTGGAGAGAGAAGGGTGATAATTCTTCGCGCGTGAATAATTTATCGAAGAAGAATAATTTATCCAACGTGGGTAACTTATACAACATGGATAATTTGTCCAAGCTGGATAACTTAGCCCACTTGGAAAAGTTATCTAATGTGAATAATTTAAGTAACGTGGATATCGAGGATAATTTATCCAAGGTGGATAACTTTTCCTAGGCTTAAAATTTATCCAGTATGATTAATTTATCCAAGGTGGAAAATTTATCTAACGTGGGTAAGCTAGCCCAAGGGGATAATTTATATAACGTAGATTATTTATCCAACGTCGATAACACTGTGCAACACAAAAAAAAAATGACGAGTAAAGTCCAACAGATTATGAAAGTAAAACTAAAACCAGTAAGTAAAACTCAAAAATCGGGCGGGGCCGTCTATATGATAGCCTACACCACTATGCATATTAATTGGAGCTCCAGTAACAAAAGAATTTATTTCAAGTAGATCATACCACCAATCAACATTTGGCTTTAGAGCAGTTACAGTTTGCTATAGAGTGCATGACATCTCTTGGAGAAGGATTATATTAAAAACCAGTAAGGAAAGCTCAAAAGTCGGGCGGGGCCGACTATATGATACCCTACACCACTATGCATATTTAGTAGAGCTCTCGTAAAAAGGTTTATACAGGGCATTTCAGAGCTCTATGAGATATTTGGTACAAAATCAATATCTATCTAATTCTATCTAATTCTATAGCTATCTCTGAACCAGGTTTCTCCAAATTTTACGTAGACTGGTGATTTGGGCTGATATTGACCATTTAGTGCACATTTAACCCGAAATCGGATGAAGATATATATGAGAGCTATATCCAAATCTGAACCGATTTCGATAAAATTTAAAACAGCTATTCCTGTGCTCCATCTAATACCTGGTACCAAATATCAAGGTTGTGGAGTGAATATTACGAATGTATGGGACTAAAACTCTAAATCGGATGAAACATATATATGGTTGCTATATCTATATCTGATCCGATTTTCACTAAATTTGATATACTTGCTTCTGGGCTGAATTTGGTCCGATGTACTAAAATTCAGTCCATTTGGACTTATATCGGCCATTTGGTGCACAATTAACCCGAAATCGGATGAAGATATGTATGGGAGCTATATCCAAATCTGAACCGATTTCGATAAAATTACAAACAGCTATTTCTGGGCTGTATCTTATATCTGGTACCAGATATCATTCTTGTGGAGTGCATATTACGAACGTGAGAGGCTTAAACACCAAATCGGATGAAAGATATATATGGGAGCTATAGCTATATCTGAACCGATTTTCTCCAAATTTATTATACTTGCTTCTAGGCCGAGCTCGGTTGGGTGTGCCAAAATTCAGGTAATTTGGACTGATAGTGGACATTTGGTGCACATTTAACCCGAAATCGGATGAAGATATATATGGGAGCTATAGCTGTTTCTGAACCGATTTTCTCCAAATTTGTTGTATTTGCTTTAAGGCTAATCTCGGTCACATGTGCCAAAATTCGGGCCATTTGGGCTGATATTGGCCATTTGGTGGTCAATTAACCCGAAATCGGATGAAGATATATATGGAAGCTATATCCAAATCTGAACCGATTTCGATAAAATTTAAAACAGCTATTTCTGTGCTCCATCTAATACCTGGTACCAAATATCACGGTTGTGGAGTGCATAGTAGGAATGTGAGGGACTTAAAGATCAAATCGGATGAAAGATATATATGGGAGCTATAGCTATATCTGAACCGATTTTCTCCAAATTTGATATACTTGCTTCTAGGCCGAACTCGGTTGGGTGTGCCAAAATTCAGGTAATTTGGACTGATAGTGGATATTTGGTGCACATTTAACCCGAAATCGGATGAAGATATATGGGAGCTATATCTAAATTTGATCCGATTCTCACCAATTTCAATAGGGTTCGTCCTTGGGCCAAAAAAATACTGTTTGGAAAATTTCATCTCAATCGGATAATAAATGCGACCTGCATTTTGTTCACAAGAATACATGGACAGACAGACGGACTGACATGCACAAATCGACTCAGAAAGTGATTCTATGAAGGTTCTCAAAAGTAACTATGGGTCTATCTCGTTTCCTTCTCCATGTTACAAACAAATGCACAAAGACATAATACCCTTACCACTATGTGGTGTAGGGTATAAATATATATCGGAGCCGAGTTGTACAAAATATATACGTACATCCCCAAAATTCACTCCATTTAGACTGATATTAGCCATTACTTGCACAATAAACCTGAAATCTTAGCCGTTCTTTATAAAATATCGTTGTTGTGAAATTCATATTACGAATTTGAGGGACATAAACACCAAATCGGATGAAACATATATATGGGAGCTATAGCTATATCTGAACCGATTTTCTCCGAAATCGATGTACTTGCTTCTAGACTGAATTCAGTCGGATGTGCCAAAATTCAGGACATTTGGACTGATATTGGCCATTTGGTGCACAATTAACCGAAGTCTGTTGAGGATCTATATGGGAGCTATATCCAAATCTGAACCAATCATGACCATATTTGATAAATTTATTTCAAAGCTGTACCTGATATCTGGTACCAAAGATCATTGCTGTTGAATGCATATTACACTTGTGAGGGACTTTAAACCCCAAATGAGGTAAAACATGTACATATATGGGAGATATAACTATATCTGAACCGATTTATACCAAATTTGAATTACTGGTAACCATCTGGTCCACAATAATCCTAATAACGGATAAAGATGTATATATGGGAGCTATAACCTAATCTGAACCGATCTCGATATAATTTGACAGATATATTTTCAAGTAGTATCTGATAACCGTTGCTAAATATAATTCTTCTGGAGTGCATATTACGCATGTGGGAGACTTAAAACCCCAAACATATAGATGAGAGCTATAGCTATATCTGAACCGATTTTTTTCCAAATTTTATTAGCTTGCTTCGAGACTTATTCGGTGGGATATACCAAAATATAGGTTATTTGGTGAACAATTAACCCGAAATCGGTTGAATACATATGGAAACTATATCTAAATCTGATCCGGTTAACAACAATTTCAATAGGGTTGGGCCAAACAAATATTGTTTGCAAAATTTCATCTCAATCGGGTAATAAATGTGATCTGCATTTTGTTCACATGAACACATGGACGGACGGACTGACATGCATATATCGACTCAGAAAGTTATTCTATTAAGATCCTCAAAAGTAATTATGGGTATATCGCGCTTCCTTCTCCATGTTACAAACAAATGCACAAAGACGTAATACCCTTACCACTATGTGGTGTAGGGTATGAATATAATGATATTTTTGCATCGTATATGTTAAATATACAAATTTCTTTTGATCAGAGAGTCGTAATGAAATGTGATCTAGGATAATTCTTCCTTTGCTACATTTCCCAAAAAGATATTTTAAAGGAAGATATTGACTCAGATTGGAATCTTATTAAATCATCAGTAAACGAATTAAAGAGTATCATTTTTTTTTTGGAAGTCATCAGAAATAGTGGATCAACATACTCCATATACTACGATTTTTGAAGGATAAGGGTTATAATTATTCATAATGTTAAAATGTGGGGAAAGTACCATCGGGAGTGGTCCCATAAATTTCATATTCTGATCAGATCACTGTTTGGTAAAAATATTGTAATATACAATATTTGAAGAAAATCGTTGACATACTTCACTTGTTTATCGTACCAGATCTTGTGTTGGTAGAAATATTGGGACGTGCGAAATTTGAAGAAAATTTGAAGTTATTAGTATGTTTACCCGTTGGTGGGAAGATATTAGAAGGAGTGGGTCGATATATTCCAACTTACCAGAAGGTGTGAGCCGGTATGTCACATTGAACACTCTATCTTATAATAGTTAAAATATGTGCAATATGTGCGAAATTTAAAAAAAAAATCTGATGCATATTTCGCATTTTATGAGAGTTTTAGATATTGCAAAATTTGTCCTTTGTGGAGAAGGTATTCAAAGAGGTAATCCGATATATCACATCTTCACATCAAATCTTGTTTTAGTAAAAATATTGTGATGTGGGAAGTTTGAAAATAATCGGATGCTTAGTTCGCATTTTATAAGCGTTTTGGTTGTTCACAATTTTGAACCTTTGTGGGGAAGGTACCAGAAGGAGTGGTTCGCTATACTCCATCTTTATACCCGATTTTGTAATGGTCAAAACATTAGGATGTGCGAAATTTAAAGAAAACCTGATGCATATTTCGCATTTTATGAGCATTTTAGATATTCCAAATATTGACCTTTTGTGGGGATGGTATTCAAAGGTGTAGTCGCTATATCCAATATTCACATCAGATCTTGTTTCACTAGAAATGTACAAAGTTTGAAAATAGTCCGATGTTTAATTTGCATTTTAAAAGCGTTTTGGTTGTTCAAAATTGTGAACCTTTGTGGGGGAGGTACAAGAAGGAGTGATCCGCTATACTCCATCTTTATACCCGATTTTGTGATGGTCAAAATATTGGGATAAGTGAAATTTGAAGAGAATTTGCATTACATTTCTCATTTTATGAGCGTTTTAGATATTCCAAATCTGGACCCCTTGTGGAGGAGGTACTAGAAGGAGTAGTCCGATCTTGTCCATTATCGCACCCAAACTTGCGGTAATGCAAATTTGCACCAAATCAGATTATCTGCTCTCTTTCTCTCTCTGTTGACCTTTTAGGGGGGAGGTACCAGAAGGAGTAGAAATCGATCTAAGTTTGACAAAAATATTACGATGTACCAATTTTGGACCAAATCGGATACTCCCTTCAATGGTTATCGTGTGCACCAGCCAAAGAGATAAACGGACGGACACTAATAGATCGACTCCAAATGCCCTAAAACGGATTTGGTTCAAAGAGACCTAGGGTCGAAAACAGTTATTTCGACTAGGCACGTTTTGGCCGTGTCAAATGATATACAGGGTGAGATTAAAAAACTGCAACAAAGTCAAACGCCATAATTTTTACATTTTTTTAATTTTATTGAATGAGAGCAAAAAATTTTAGAGTAAGCTTAGGTTTGTTCGAATTGGTCACCTTTAGCACGAATATGGCCTTCAAACGGCCAATCAAACCGTCACACTCTGTCCGAATGTTGCCCTGCGGTATTTTGGGCCATTCCCGGCGAAGCGCTTGCTTGAGGTGATACTCCAAAATACTCTAGACACAATAGACCAACGGATTGGTATCCGGATATTTTGGTGGGTATTGTGTGCTGGAAATGAAGCGAGGAACCTCATTTTGTAACCATCCTTGGGTGGCGCGCACTGAGTGCGATGGTGCTGAGTCCTGTTGGAATGTCCAAAATGTTTGCGTGCCCAATGCTTTAATACACCCTCTAGAATATTTTGGCGATAATATTCGGTATTTATTCTGATGGCACGATCGATTAGTACGAGCGGAGAGCGACTATCGGCTGTTATGGCGGCCCACACCATTACAATGGCCGGCGCTTGAGTTCTGGTGGCCAACCGAAGGTGCACATTTTCAGCTGACCTCTTTGGCAAGTAAACACGATCATTTTGTTGGTTTACAAACTGCTGGACAACGAATGTTTTCCCATAGGAGAAAGCCAAATTCGGCAGTTCACCACATTCGGCCAAGCGAAACAATTCTTTAGCTCTTTTGAGACTCTTTTCTTTCTGTTGAGGTGTAAGTTCTCGCACTTTTTGGAATTTCAATGGTATTACCCCGAGCTCATTTTTCAATATTTGCCGAATGGGACATTGCGATATGTTCAGCTCACGAGCCATATTTTTCCGATTTTACTGTTATTGCTCAGATTACATGTAATATAAGCCCAAATTGAATAGATTTTTTCAAATTCAACCTAATTTTATCATTTGGTGGAAATCGGTCCAATTTAGGTTTCTACAATTAATATTATTTAATATAATCCTTATCGAAGTTATAGCCTTACTGGTTAATTATATAGTTCTTGGGCTTTAGGTTCGAAGTAGACTTTTGATGTCATCTAGTAGAATTTTTTGGCAAATATGACTACGACTCCTTTTAAAGGTAGTTGTTCGACAAAAGTAATCCTCGTGCATTGTTGCTGAAGACACTATATAAATAAAATCAACGGATTTCAAGGAATCTTAATCCGAAAACTTAAAGAAATGTGGGATAGTGGTGAACTCCTGCCTCCTCTATTTATATTACTTTGCGATGTATATTTTCGAAAGCCAATATATATGGTTTCCAGTTTTAGCTCTGTTTTCACAATCTGCTGTACTCTCCCTGTAATTATTTTTTGTGTTGTTGTGGTGAATAACGAAGATAATTTATCCAACGTTTATCCGCGTTTACTTTATTTTTATATATTATCCCCATTGCAGATAAATTGGGTAATTTTTTTAAACAAGCCGCGGATGAATTAGAATTTACAAAATTTATTTTAATATTTTATCCATTCAAAAATCCATCCCTCCGTAAAAAATCCGTTGATATGTTTTTTTTTTTTTCACCATTTCAGCACAATCGGACTTTTGATTTTGACATTAAGCGCGCTATGGGTTTCAAGGCCATGGAACGACCCCCTGTTGCTGGGGAATTGCGTACACCCACACCCAGCTGGATGGGTATGGGTTTGAGTCGCACCTCGCCGGTACCCTTTGAAACTGTTGACGATTTATCACCTTGGCATCGTGGACCAACTGGCTGTACGACAGGTCTAGGAGGCGGAGCTGGCTCCCTTGTCTCTCCATATGGATTGGGTGCAACAACGGGTATTGTTGACTCAACACCAACAAATCGTCGTCTACAATTGACTCAATACAAGGATATACATACCCTGCTGACAGCACTGGGTCTGGAACATTACATCAGTAAGTGATTATATGCATTTTTGTGGAAAGTGGAATATTTTAGAATATTTGGAAAATGTTTGTGGAAGTGGAATTTTTAATATTTTCTTCTATTTTTTTTTAGAAATTTTCGTTTTAAACGAAATCGATTTGGAAATGTTTATGACCCTCACCGAGGAAAATCTCATGGAATTGGGTATAACAGCCTTTGGGGCACGCAAGAAAATGCTGGTTGCCATACACACATTGCAGGCCAACGAGGCAACCACATCCACCATGCCACAAACATCATCGAATGCCTCATCGCCACGATTTTCGGGATCTGCTGCACCGGGTGCTGAACGTAGACCCTCAAATCAGTGGTAGATCATAAAACAACTGATCCCTTTTTCGGGACTTGAATTGTAAAATTTTATTTTCAAAGTCTCCGTAATATTGAAACATTACAGTGGAAATTTAGAGACCCGGGTTCTTATAAATATTTAATATTGCAATTCAAGTCTTTTTTATATTTTTATTTCTCATTATTTTTTCTTTTGTATCTCTTAATATTGCATGCCTTATATAGATAATTTCTAACTAAATTATTAACTTTTGAATTCAGTGAAATATTTAAAAACTCAAAAAAAAAAAACTTTTTTCCCCATTTGAACAAAAATCCTTAAAAAAAGACTCTCTTACATTGAAATCCTGTAGAAAAAAACTACCTTTTTAACTACTCCAACATCTCTACACAAAACGTATGGTTTGTGAAGTAACCAATCGACTGTTGTCTTATGAAATTTAATTAATAAATTTTATATTCTCTAACTTACAACTAACTAAAAATAAAATAATAACAACAAATCAACGCGAACCTTTCTTCCGAATCTCACAAAAATGACTTATACTCGTATTTGTACACAAATTTCTTTAAAATAGACAACAGTTTGGTTTTCTTTACAACGCGTCAGTGTAGAGACCAAATTGATTTTCTTTTGATCTCGAAGTCTTTACCATTTTTTTTCTATTTATTTAATTTATTTTCTTTGTATTTATTATATTTTTTATTTTTATTATTTATTAATATTTTTTATTATGTATTTATTATTTCCTATTTTTTTGTAACCAAGTATTATTTTGAACTTTGCCACTTTATCAATCATCAACCCAATGAACTTTGAAATTTTGAAACACACATTTGTATGATTTTGTATTATTAAGCTGTAACTACTATTCGAAAAAAAACAATTTTAAAACAAATTTGAAAAAAAAACAACAACACATAATGAAATTACAAAACCCAAATAAAAAGATTATTAATCTCAGAACATAATGAAGAGGATGTGTATATTATTTAGCGATTACGAAGACACAATTTAAAAGAAATTTCCTTGGAGATTATGCTTAAATTGAAAGGAAGTATAAAATATATGGCTGGGAGAAATACAATCTCCGTTTCCATCTGAAATGGTGCCTTCCGGAATTTTTATAACTCCATATACCCTCCATGGAACATTCATTCCGTTTTTAACACTTCGAAATATTATTGATCAGCATAACATTTTATCGATGTCTATTTGGCCATGAAAAGAAGTAGGTTGGTAAACCTTTACTCAGATGTATTGTAGATCTGCAGGATTTTTGGAATTCCTATTCCAAAAATAGCCCCAGTTTTGAAGTAGGCCCATATAACTGTGATTTTGAATAAAAATTTGCTGTAAATTGTCTGTTTGTGTTTCCTTGCATAGCCTATATACATGCCCAAGTTTGATATAACCGGTATTCGGTATTTTTATGATTTGTGCAACACTTTTCACCTTGTTTTAAATTTGAGACCTAGAGATCGCAATTCCCTCCCCTTCTATGGCAGCAAGTCGAATAGATCCTTATCCGCTTAACCCCTATATAGTTGTACCCCCGATATTTGGTTTCACCAAAATTGCATTTTTTTTATCCAGAATTGCTTAAAATTCCGGACATAGAGATCGTAATAAGCGCTCGACAGAAAATTGGCAGAATAGCTCTACGTTTTCGTATATCCACAATGTAACTGTACTTCCCAAAATTCGGTGCTTTCACGGTTTTAGCCATATTTTTCACCGGAATTATTTCAAATTCAGATTTTGACGACTGTTTAACGAAGTTGTTTTAAAACTTGAAGTTGGTGTTGGTAATAGCGTTATGGTCATTTAAAACACCTTACTTTTCTTTGTTTTTAAATCTGAAGGAAAAACTAGCTAAAAACCGCGTAATGTTAATATTTAACGAGTTATGGCCATCTTAAAAGAAAACCTTCATTTTCATAAAACTAAATGAAAACAAGTAAGCAAAAGCTATAGTCGTGCGGGTCCGACTATGTGATACCCTGCAACACTACAAATATTAAAAGTCCCTAACTATTTTGCGATCATCTCTTAAAGCAAAAGGGCCCTCTGTACCCCTAAACTAAGCCTCATCTGTATGATAAGTTTATCTACGATATTTGTATGGAATTTTTCCCACAATAGTAGTGGTATATTCTACCCGCTGTCCTAAACTCTATCTTCATGCGAGATTTCGTGTCCTTTGGATTCTATTTGTGACCTTTATAACGGCAAAGAAGTCAGGACATCTTTGAAAACAATGAGCCTAACCCTTCTGAGCCTAACCTACCCTTTTTCGTGAGGATAATTGCAATCTGTATATAATAACCCCAACTTGTGTTGTAAAATGAAAAAATATTACAAAACGTATTCTTCAATATTATAAGTCAACAAAAATAGGAAGGAATAAATTGAAAGAAAACCAGTAAAGAAAGTCTTAAAGTCGGGCGGGGCCGACTTTATGATACCCTACAACACGCTGCTAATTAAGTAAATTTAAAAGTTTTTATGGGAGAATTCAATCTTACACGCTATGATTATAATTTAAAGTTCAAAGAACTAAATATGCCGAAGCATTTGTTTCTTTTAAATTCGGACTTTTATTGCCTATTTTGTGCAAAATTAATTTGAAATCATATAAAGATACATATGGGAGCTATATCCAAATCTGAACCGATCTCGATAAAATTTGGCAAATATATTTCTGAGCTGTATTTGATATATTTCCCTGAATATCGTTGTTACGGAGTGCATATTATGGCTGTGGGTTACAAATACAAGAAATCGGATGAACATTATATATGGGAGCTATAGCCATATCTGAACCGATCTTCACCAAATTTAGCATACCAACTTCTAGACTCAGTTGGTCGTATGTGCCAAATTCCATCATATTTGGGCAAATATTAGACTTTTGGTGTACAATAAAGAGTAAATCGGACGAAGTTATATATGGGAGCTATATCCAAAACTGGACCAATCTCGATAAAATTTAGCAAAGGTATTTCTGAGCTGCATTTGATATATTTCCCCAAATATTGTTGTTACACAGTGCATATTACGGCTGCGGAGGACAAAAATAACAAATCGGATGAACAATATATATGGAAGCTATAGCTATATCTGAACCGATTTCGATCAAATTTGGTACACTTATTTTCATGCCTAATTTGGTTGTATGTGCAAATTCCGTACAATTCGGGCTGATATTACACGTTTGGTGCACAATGAAAGGCAAATCGGACGAAGATATATATGGGAGCTATATCTAAATTTTTAACGATTATCTCCAATTTCAATAGGGTTTGTCCTTGGGCCAAACAAATGTTGTTTGGAAAATTTCATCTCAATCGGATAATAAATGCGACCTGCATTTTGTTCACAAGAATACATGGACAGACGGACGGACGGACTGACATGCATAAATCAACTCAGAAAGTGATTCTATGCAGATCATCAAAAGGAACTATGGGTCTATCTCGTTTCCTTTTGCCTGGTACAAACAAATGCACAAAGACATAATACCCTGACCACCTTGTGGTGTAGGGTATAAAAATCCGTTAAAAAAATCTGTTAAAATCTTAAACACACCGAATGTAGCCGTTTATTAGGGTCTATACGACAACGGGCATAGGCAACTGTTGTCATAAGCTATTACAATATTCAAATGCGAAACTTGAAAAAAATCTGTTCATAATTTAGCTAAAATCATCGAAATAACGAATATAGGGAGGTACCATGGGGGTTATAAAACGTGGACCTGCACAAACAATTTTCTGTCTTAGGCTGTAGTATCCATTACAAACTTCAAATACCAAGTTTGAAACAATCCCAGTAAATAATGTCGCTAAATCATCAAAATACCGAATATCGGGGTGGTACCGTTTCATGTGGGCTATACGAAGACGTGGAACTGCACAGACAATTTTCTGTCATAGGCTATAGTATTCATTACGAACTTCAAATACCAAATTTGAAAACATTCTGGGGAATAATGTCGCTAAAATCATACAAATACCGAATATTGGGGTACCGTTATATATGGCTATACAAAGACGTGAATCTGCACAGACAATTTTCTGGCATAGGCCGTAGTATCCATTACAAACTTCAAATACCAAATTTGAAACAATTCCGGTAAATAATGTCGCTAAAATTATCAAAATACTCCATATCCGGAGGTACCGTTATATGGGGGATATACGAAGACTAGGTCCACGTCTTCGGCCCATTTTCAATACCAAAAACCATGCAGACATAATACACATTCGAGTAATTTTTTTATCAACTTACTTTATTTCGTTCGGTAGCTAGAGTGATTTGCACAGACGGGCATTGCTAAATCGACATAGAATTTTATGCTGATCAAGAATATATATACTTTGGGGGGTCTAAAATGTATATTTTTAGGTGTTACAAACGGAATGACAAACTCAATATACCCTCCATACTATGGTGGAGGGAATAAAATTCTGATACATCGTAACGAAATTTGATAAATTTAAGAATATTTGTCATTTGCCGGGTTCTTTCAAAGATTGACAGTTTTCAAATTTTAATTGTTACAGTTTTCAAATATTAATTGTTACAGTTTTGAAATAGCTGGTGATAAGACATGTATCAACGACACACACCTTTTCCACTTTATCGGTACAGTACATATAACTAGAGCAATGACACATTACAACTATTATAATTCCTTTTATATCGCTAGGGGTGGATTGCCTGTTAGGGTTGCCGGTTACAACAAATGGAATTACGAGCAGCTAAGTTGAAGTCCGAATGCTTAAAAATATTGTGGTGCCAGTTTTATATAAATTATTAAGTCTTAACATGAGTGTAGGTTTCAGGAATTTTGAGTGAAAATATTCAAGTTACTCAAATTTAAATTTTGGAAATATTAATGAGTGTGAGATAACTATAAACTAAAACCAGTAAAGAAAGTCCTAAAGTCGGGCGGGGCCATTTGGTCCAAAATTAATTTGAAATCAGATAAAGATATACACATCCAAATCTGAACCGATCTCTATAAAATTTAGCAAAGGTATTTCTGAGCTGTATTTGATATATTTCCCTGAATATCGTTGTTACGGAGTGCATATTACTAGAAATCGGATGAACAATATATATGGGAGCTATAGCTATATCTGAACCGATCCTCACCAAATTTGGCATACTACCTTCTAGTCTCAATTTGGTCGTATGTGCCAAATTCCATCCCATTTGGGCAAATATTAGACGTTTGGTGCACAATTAAAGATAAATCGGACGAAGTTATATATGGGAGCTATATCCATATCTGAACCGATCTCGTTAAAATTTAGCAAAGGTATTTCTGAGCTGCATTTGATATATTTGCCCAAATATTGTTGTTACAGAGTGCATATTACGGCTGCGGAAGACAAAAATAACAAATCGGATGAAACATATATATGGGAGCTATAGCTATATCTGAACCGATTTAGATCAAATTTGGCATATTTATTTTCAGGAGTAATTTGGTTGTTTGTGCAAAATTCCATATTCGGGCTGATATTACACGTTTGGTGCACAATAAAAATAATTTCAATAGTATTCGTCCTTGGGCCAACAAAAAACAAAAATTTCATCTCAATCGCATAATAAATGCGACCTGCATTTTGTCCACAAGAATACATGGACAGACGGACAGACGGACTGACATGCATAAATCAACTCAGAAAGTGATTCTATGGACATCCTCAAAAGTAACTATGGGTCTATCTCGCTTTCTTCTCCATGTTACAAACAAATGCACAAAGACATAATACCCTGACCACCTTGTGGTGTAGGGTATAAACTGTGCATTAAAATAGAAAAACTGTTCCCTACGTCGTTATATCGAGAAATATTCAAACAAATAATTGT